TGTGTGTGTGTGTGTGTGTGTGTGTGTGTGTGTGTGTGTGTGTGTGTAAATAAAGGATGGTGGATAATCATTTAGAGCTCGATAGACAGTTGTAAGGAAGAATGTGTTTGATGAATATAGCCTCTGTTTGTGGATTTTCTGTGAACAGATCACATTTTTCTGCAAAGAATTTGTTTGAAATTGTTTTCCAAATAATTCCTAGGAATAATTTTTGGTCAGTAGATTATTTGTGAGCAATTAATTTCAAGTAGTCAATATTGGAAGTTCAAGATGTGTTTTGATTAGACATGTAGATCACATAGTATGTTTCTTTTCAGAGAATAACGTAGAATCGTACTGTAAAAGTTGCAGAATATCAGGCAATTTTTTTTTATTATAACAACTACCATATCTTCATATGGAACCTAAAGATTAACAAAGTCAGGTACCCCTAAAGATTAGAAATCTAAGATAATAAGCTAGTGCATCGCGGAAATCACATATATTTTTATATTATGTCTCCATGAATATTAAATAATTTCATCATGACAAATTATATTACAGTGAATACCAATTGAAGTAATAACCATGGAACACTTAGTGTAGAGCATTATTAATGGATAATGCTCCAGTCATTCATTAGCCAGTTTTAAAAACTTAGCTCTTTTTGGAAATGAACAGGGTATCTACCTGAATATTAAACAAATAGTCACAGTTTCTGCTCAACATAATATTAATTACAAAATTCAGGGGTACTAGCAACACTATACAATACATTGTTAATTATTGTTATTTCATTCAGTATTTAGTATAATAACATTTATCATTCCTAACTCATTTAATTTTAATGTGGATAAAATATGTAATTCCACAGCAATTCCTTTGTAACGTAACATTAATTCATGTCTTCTCACTTAAAGCATTTGTTTCTGCGAAATAAAGAATCTCAAGAAAGTGGATCCCTATGTTTGGTCCATATGTGAGCATGCAGCATTCTTGGTTAAAATTTACATCAATACAATAACAACCAACTTCCCTACTGAAGAAAATGTGGCCCTCAAGATATAACATGGGAACATGCAGGAGAATGTTTTATTTTCTTCTGAAAACAGTAGCAAAAAGCATTACGAAACTGACCTACTCTGTTTACTTTCTTTTCTTTCGGGGATATATTTAGAATATTCCTATTGCAATCTATGACACATAGCGGTATCCAAGAATATTCATGTTGCCAAAAGTTAATTCTTGTTTGTCAGTATTTCTGTCCTCCACATCCCACACATTTACAGCATAGCCAGAATAGCTGGATAGCTTTGGATGTATATCCCTGGATGATTAGTGGTCTTCATTAGTACAACAGTTAGGAAATTATAAATCTCTAACTGCACACCAGAGTGATATACAATGCCTGAGCTTCAAGTCAGGATGCCAGCATTATTCATATAGCTCAAGGCTTGATAAATTCTCAATATTAGTAAGATCAACAGTAGTAAAATAGCTATTACCAATGTATTTTCTGTCACAAAGGAGTTAAGGAGTGAGATATACTCCTCATCAGCAAGATAGCAATTATAATGGTTTGTGAGTTGTTCGAATTTTGGTTCAGAACAAAATCTCCAGCAAAAAGGTGGGGGGGGGGAGGAGGGAGACGGCATTTAAAATGCACTGACATACAAAAAACAAATCAGATATATAGTTAGTGATCTTAAAATCTTGGCCTCAAATCCTTCCCCAAATACCCAGCCTGAGTACCTGGGTGGTGAGCTGGGGACTTCATCAGGGATTGGGGAAAAGGAATGTTTCCAATTATTGAAATTGAATGGCAACCATAGCATCTGTACTGACAACTTTCCTTCCATATAGGGGCCAGTGGATCCAATTCCTGATGTACCGTTTAATCCATGCTGCACAGTGACACGAAGCAAGACCCCATACAACATGCAGGGGGAGTGTGAACTGAATGAATCTCCATGCAGAGTTGTGCGTCAGTGGTTACTTCTTATAGAAGAAAAGGCTGAGCTTGCAGTCCTTACTCAGGCAAAACATTCATTGACTTAAATGGGAACTTTGATTAAAGACTGAGAAAGGACTATAAGGTTGGCCCTAAATTAGAAGCCTGAATGGAATGAAAGCAAAAACGTGACAGCTTTCTAAGCAGCTCTACGAGCCGTTGGTTTAGTTTGCACAAGCGCTCACTTAACATATTTTATTTATTTTTCATGAAAATGCTAATCCAGTCTGATTCAGAGCATTGATTTTAACAATGTGTGTTTTGCCTTGTTTGTTTTTGCCTGCAGAGCCAAGTTCCCATTATGTAATTTCTTTAAAAGCCTTTAACAACGTGGGTGAAGGAGTCCCTCTCTATGAAAGTGCCACCACTAGATCATTGACAGGTGAGTTGGAAATGTTGATTCTTATTTTGTTCCATATCAGTTATCATTAGCCTTACGTACATATTAGGCAAACTGTTTTGGGAAGCCAATAAAGAAAAAGCTCTTCAACATCCAAGTTTCTGCTAAAATAAATCAGATTATTTTTTCCACCCCATTTTAAATGGTTGAACTACATGGCTATAAGATAATGAATTAATTACACTTTCCTGAAATATATTTTACAGCAGTAAATTTTCATTAGCTGATATAAAATAATGTAATGCTTGCACATCCGTTAGTAGTTTCATTGAGTTGGCTTGGGAGCAGCATGAATCCCAGAGCAATTTGAATATCTGAAGATCAGGTTAAAATTGTGGCTGCTGTCACAAATCAAGCACAGAATTTAATTATTTTCTGTATCTCTTATAATTTTTGCTAAGTTGAAATTAATTAATTAAAGCCAAGAATAGTCACAGACATAGATAGGGTCAGATAGCCAGGTCTCAGATAAGATGAAGGAAAGTATTGCAAACAATTAATGATGATATAAACTCACACAAAACAGAATACCCAGTAGTAATCAGGCTACTCACTTACCATGCAACATTTTTTTTCATAGATGTATTCTTGGTACAAAAAACAGAGTTCCACTAAGTTTAGGGTTCCGTTGGTCAAATCAGACCTTTGTGCATGTATAGGTTTTGGGGATGAGTGGGTAAGACTGCAGAGAGCTGATAAAAAGAATAAATACAAAAACAAAAATGATTTTCCTCTGGAGTAACACCATCATTTGGTAGTTTTTCCTTGTGTTTCACCCACCATGTTAAGAACTTCCTCAAAGGAAGGAAGCTTATGTCACTGAGAGCAAAAGGACCATTAACAGACAGACTGACTAGGGTGAACCATTAAGGATAATTAAATCAAATGGCAGCACTCTGGCTCCAAATGGAAAACCATCCATTGTCCATATGTGTTTGTGAAGTATTCCCCTAAGAAATCTTGGAAAGTCCCAAAGGTGGGGAGAAACATTCAGTGTAAAAGCAAAGGCAACTGTGAGAAACCATATCCAGATGTAATACATAGCAGTGAGCATGTGGCTTCAACATTGTTAATATCACTTCTGATGTGGTATCTACAAGGGTCCTGCTCGGCACGTGAGATTATGTATGTGTCTTTTGAAATCTTTATTTGATGAACTTGGTTCAAAATCCATGTTTTGTTTTGTTTTGTTTTTTTGTTTTTGTTTTTACCTTTTGTCCCGTGTTGATGCTAGATCAAGAATTATCTATGTGTAGCCTGTGGGGAATTTTTTTTTCTGTATGTATGTATGTATGTGACCTCTCAGAAATGAAATGTTATCCTGATGTGAAAAAGGTCTGTCAAGCTTGGGTTCTACTGTGGTGACTTGACCCAAGGACTCTATACAAGTACTGTATGCCACTTTGCAGTTTCTCTTTTACTTCTAAGAGCAACTCTAACAAGGAGCTTCCTATCTAATCTCTTACCCCTCTGGATACGGCTTCTGGAGTGAGTCAATACCATTGGGTTATTCATGGAAGAGCATTTCAAAAACTACGTTCAGCAAAGTGAGAAACATTTTAGTTGAACTCCCTGAGTGGTTGTTGAACTGACTTGCCCTGAGTGAAAAAGAAAATTTAACTATTGTATTTATTTCAGTGCATAAGAATTGTATATATAGAGACAGATATAGAAATGTGTGTGTGTATAACATATAATCTCAAATGATGTGACAAGCAAAATAAGAATTAAAGGAAGCAGAAACTTTTTTATCAAAGGTATGCAATATCTAAATGACAGATGTCCGAACATGAACAGCAGCAAATAACTCTGTTTTGAAAAGTGGAAGAAGTGTTTAGGGACCTATTTTCAGACACCAAAGGATTATAGAAATTCCACTGTTTCTCAGCTAAGTGATGGCATGTTTCAAGAACTGAATTATTTTGATTGGTTGAATCTAATCATTTATTTTGCTAGACCTAGTCTTTCTTCATAATCCTCTGTACAACAGACCTTCAGAATTCAGTATGTCACTATGGGGAAAGAAGAAAGATGCAGTGTTTTATTTGCCAAAATACCAAATGTATATTACCTTACAGCATTAACTATGTAAGCAAAAAAGAAACAAAAATGAAAAGTGTTCATTATGTCACAGCTTGTAGACAAATCTCCTTGAAAATTGCAGTTTAGAACTGGGAATTGAAATCTTAAGAGTAGCAATATTCTTTGTGAATAGGCAAAGAAGTTTCAACCCAACCTGCTATGCAGAATGTCCAAATTCATTTTGGATCTGTAGGTGAACAACCAGATTGCTCTATTTCTCCAAGCATCTATGTTCAAGCTTCTAGAGAAGCTGATGATGAATGAAGCAGCAACAACAACAGCATTAAAGGGTTCATCTAGTTGCTCATCATAAATTTTAAACATGCTTTTCTCCTGTATTTTTTATTCCAAAGTCTGTGGCCTCCTGAAGTCCTAAATAATTAATTACAAAATTACAAAAAAAAATGTGATCAAAGAGTGTCAGCAGTTTGAAATACATATAGAGCTGACAAACTGAAGTAATATCAATCGGGAAATGTCAGATTAATTTGTGCTTTGATTAATTACATAGTCTGTTATTTTGCAAAAAATATGGTTCTGTGTACTGTGTCATAATTACTGCAACCTGAAATTTTTGGTTGGTAAAATCATAATCTTGTTTTTAAATTGCAAATACATATATATATTTTAAAAGGTAACATTTTAACATAATAACTCTGCTCTGACCACATGCAATCCAATTCTTCTATCACATTGTAAGTCAGGGTTAATTCTGTTGAAGTCAATTCAATTACAATGAAGTGAGAAGAGAATCAGGCCCATGATGTTCTAGATAGCATTGGCTAACTGCCAAGTATGGCTTTCCAATATGGAACTGCATTTTTGGAAATGGAAGCAAACTTTTCTGTGTAATAAAACCTACTACAGATTGCCTGTGTGTTGTGCTAACTTCACCTACCACTGCATACCATTATGTTCAGTCTATTGATCTGTCTGAAGGCAGCATGATCACCAAATGCATAAAAGAAGTGTGCTTATGTCTCGAGGAAACACACTCAGAGGTGAAAACAACAATCCACATATCCATACCTGGATGCACACATTTATCATGCTGGCATTATTAAATCAACAAATGTGGACCTCCATCTTAGCATTACAATTATGTTCTCTTTTGCCTGACAAATATTTAAGCAGATGTAGAAGTGCTCCTTTGAATAGCATTAAAAGAACAAAAGAAGCTGCAGAGAGAGAGAGAGAGAGAGAGAAAAGCATAGGTAACTCCTACACACATCAGAGTGTCTTTTAAAATGACACTATTTTGTACATGTTTTTAATAATGTATCTTTTATGTATTTCAATTTTTTTTATTGCAAAGTAAATCATTTTAAAGAGAAACAATGCATTTCAACTTCATTTTGGAGCCAAGAAAAGAAAGCACACCTGGAAGTATTTGAACAAGCCATGCAAAATAATATTAATTGCTAGTTACCTTTATTTACAGTAATGTAAGTGAAATATTATATATATATTAAATTTTTCAATTAATGCCTCTCTTTCTGTTCTTCTCCTGTTCCCCTCTCATCATTTAACCCATTGTGATGTGTATCCACTGGTGATTGTTTTGTTTTGTTTTTGTTTTAACTGCTATTCATTTTTTTTTGAATGCTCATTTGGTGGTTTTTGACCCAGATCCCATTGATCCATTAGAAGTTGATTTTTATCCTTTGCTTGATGATTTCCCTACCTCAGTCCCAGATATCTCCACCCCCATGCTCCCACCAGTAGGTGTCCAGGCTGTTGCACTTACCCATGATGCAGTGAGAGTCATCTGGGCAGACAACTCTGTCCCAAAGAATCAAAAGACTACTGAGGTTCGCTTTTACACTGTCCGTTGGAGAACCAGCTATTCTACAAGTGCTAAATACAAGGTGAAGTTATAAAGGGATATGAATTGATGATCTGCGATTTCTTGTGTTCATATTTTATTTGACTATAAGCTGAATCTACCTATTCTGTACTTCACTCAGGAAAAACTCCCAGTATAGTCAATGGGAGATTTGTCCTGAATAGCAAACATCTAATAGGGTCACAAATATATATCGTTTGGAGTTTTTTTAAAAGAGTATTTATTGGCCTGAAAATGCCACACTAAAAATCTAATTGTTGAAGATTCTGATCTTTAATTTTACATATCATATGTAAGTTAGAAAGTCATTGATTGGACAGCATAATGTCCAAGAATGAAACTGGGATGCCAATTTCAAATCAACCACACCATTGGAAATCCCTGCATTATTATATTAGCAACAAACACTCAAAAAGCACCAGGTGAACAGAAAACTTCTCAATTTGGAAGTAGCCTGTAATATCCTACTGCCTGTAAATGAAAGATGTTTTCAAACACTAATGCCAACAAAACAATATAAAAATATATCTGGGATAGGAGAGAAAATAATAATAATAATTAATACTTAATAATGCTTGGCAGTTGTACAGAACAGAAAGTGACAATCACTAACCTGAAAAAATAAACTCTATCAATTTACATACTATGGTCAATTCATATACTGTCAAGTATCAGAGGGGTAGCCGTGTTAGTCTGGATCTGGAAATGGGTATTCACCCACGAAAGCTCATGCTCCAATACGTCTATTAGTCTATAAGGTGCCACAGGACTCTTTGCAATTCATATACTGCATCTTATAATATCCAAATCACTCCTGGTGAACATGCTTCACCATTCCTGCCGTGCCATGTCATAATTACTGGTTAACTTTTCTGCCTATATGGGGCTATATTCTTCATCAACATGCAATTGTTCCCAATAGTTGTACATATACACTGCAAATATGTTCACCAGTAAGTGACTGGTCACCACCCCAGACATAACTCTCTAGTACAGATTGTTCCTATTACCATCACAGGGCCATTAGTGAGTAAATGAAATGGTGATTAGAAACGTGTGGATTTAGGGATGGATTTTTAAAAAATATTTATGGAATTAGGGACCTAGGTGCATTTGAAAATCCCACTAGAGAATTATCTCCATCTTTCCGCGCCTAAATACCTTTCAAATCTAGTTCTTGTTCTTAGACTGAGCTGGATCCCTGTGTCAGTGGATTTTGAAAGGAGACAAAATAATAGCGGAAACTTCTTTTTTCTCACTCCCCCTACTGGACATGATTGTTCTAGTAGTGACCATAACACATCTGCCAGAATTTCATTCAGTGGTCCTAATTTTCCTGTTGCTTACACTAGTTTTGCACTGGTGTAACCACTGCTTTTGATTTACACTAGTGTAAGAGAGAGGAGAATCAGGCCAGTTGTCTTTTAGCTGTAGATGCTGATGATCGTAAATGTCTTAAGAGTTACTAGTTAAAGGTGCTTAACTATATAACAGTACATCTTGAACATCTTTTCAAGTGTATCATAGAATGAGTGGTGTCACAATTACTATCATAGCTATCTCAACCTCAGATAGCCCTGTTCTGGGCCACAGTGTTAAACCCTAAGATCACCAAATTCTTATATGCTTATGTAGCATACACCAGGAGCTTGTTGGCAGTGTAGTAAGCTCCAGTGTAGAAGAATTAAGACTTCTGAAATAGTGTCGTTTTGTATTTTGATGTAATTATACCCATTGAGAGATTTATTCCCATTCCCAGTAAAATGTGGAATACAGTAGAACAAGCCATAGTTTTATTAATTTAGTTTCTATAGTAAGAGCAAGGATCCAAAGAGCACAACATTATTTATTGGGACCTTTAGACAATTATGAAATTGCCCACGTTGTCACTGTATGTTCATCACGTGCAGGCCCAGTGGAAAATTGCAAGTGCCAAAAAATATATATAAAGGTAGCTTTATTAGTGTCATCTCAGTATAGACAGGTGACCAGACTTATGTAAAATGAGTTTAACAGGTTAGCTATGTTTGCCTGAGACATCCCACCCTGTCATCACCCTGTTCCTTGCTGGGAAACTGTTAAAATGGATAAATGGAACTCATTGAAGAAACTAACTTATTACGGCACATAGATATAGGAAGGAACTCTAGGTATGATCAAGGCTGGAAACAAAGGCATAGGTCTAGATAAAGTAACTATATGGGCAACCAAGCCTGATGGGAAAACTTAAGGTGAGATGATCATATAGCGTTATTTTTAATGAACTGGACAACAAAAGAGCTGACTAATGTTGATTCCAGCTGGAAGGAGAAGTATGGAAATTAGAGTTGATCCGGAACTCAAAACCGTCTCCAAATCTGCTTTTTTTCCATTTAAATTGGGGGATGAAGAGTCTGGGCTTTTTGTTTGTTGGTTGGTTTGGTTTATTTTTTTAGTTTAGCCAATCTGTAGCTGAAATGTCGTGAACTGGTTGTCACAGTTTCCAAGTAACTGCATCTGTATCCCCTCCTCCATGGTCCACTTTAGAGTGACCACTCAGGCCTAAGATCTCCAGTGTTCACCTGTCTCTGGGCAGGGACCCTTGTCCCAGTCCCTTCTGCCTGGAGGTTTTAAGGCTCCACAACTCCCTGCCTTACACTCTGATACCCCAGAAAGCCACTCTGCCTAAAGCCACTCTGCCTCAGAGAGAAAGCCACTCTGTTGCTTTTTCTCTGAGGGCTATGAACAGTGTATTGCTAACAGTTACACGTTACCACACAGCTCTCTCTAGGCAAGCACATTTATTCTTACAGTAAAAGCATTAAGAGAAAACATACAAAACCCAATAAGTTCCTATCTGCATGCGAAAAGCTTACCAGAAGTCACCCATCAATCTTCTGAGGCCCTAGCAGGGCCAAAGTCTTTCCAACCTGCAAGGGTTGGGGCCCTTGGACAGAAAGTCCTGTCCATTAGCTGGATCAGAATGAAGGCTCAGAGTCAATTTAAACACAGCTTTTTTAATGCCAAAAGCCATGTATTTGTCTCTTAGTCTCTGGAAAATCCAGATTGAATCTCCCCAGGGAGTGGTGCCTCTCTGCATGAGTTTACATTGTGAGTGATTCACCTTAATAATTCCCCCTCCTCTCAACCCCCCGCTATTTTAGTTCTTGAAGCAACTCCGGTAACACTCCCCTATGGAGTAGAACACGGTCAGACATACAATCCCTGGCCCACAGGGATTGTATGTATACAATGTTAATACAATGTTTCCCCCAAAGATGCTGCATACAGTTGCAATATCTGTCATACTAGTCCAGGGGTCGGCAACCTTTCAGAAGTGGGGTGCTGAGTCTTCATTTATTCACTCTAATTTAAGGTTTTGTGTGCCAGTAATACATTTTAACGTTTTTAGAAGGTCTCTTTCTATAAGTCTATAATATATAACTAAACTATTGCTGTATGTAAAGTAAATAAGGTTTTTAAAATGTATAAGAAGCTTCATTTAAAATTAAATTAAAATGCAGAGCCCCCCGGACCGGTGGCCAGGACCTGGGCAGTGTGAGTGCCACTGAAAATCAGCTCGCGTGCCGCCTTCGGCACCCGTGCCATAGGTTGCCTACCCCTGCACTAGTCTATTCCTTTATTATTCTCAGGTCAGCCAGAAGCAGCAATCTCGCAACTTTAATTTAAATAAAAAAAGTCACAATGAATGTATGTTCACTCCAAGCCTATTTTGTCCAGAATATGTTCAACCCCAGCCTGTTTTCCAAACATTTTGGGCAGGTCTACACTACAGCCTAAGTCAATATAATTTAGGTTACTCAGGGATGTGAAAAAGACTCTCCCCTCCCCACCCCGAGTGACACAAGTTTTGCGCTGTCCACACTGGCGCCATGTTGGCGGGAGATGCTCTACTGCTGACATAGCTTTTGCTTCTCGCCAAGGTGGAGTAATTATGCCAGTGGGAGAGCACTCTCCCATCGGCATAGCGTGTCTTCACCAGATGCACCACTGGGGCGCAGCTGTGCCAGTGTAGTGCTGTAGTGGAGACCTGTCCTTTGTTTTATTCCTGTCCTTTCATCCTGAGCACGTGAAATATCTGAGCAAGTTTGAAAAAAATAAAGTTTAGTTTCTATAGTGCTCTTCTTCCTCTTCCTCTTCTTCTTTCCTATTTGGGGTCGGCGGCTTTTATAGCCTTTTTCCGGAACTCATGATAGTATGCCTGGCTGTCATGAAAATTGGTCTCCATAAGGTCAGCTTATATCTAGTCCAAATACTGAATCTTTGGCCTCTCCCTTGGTCATCTTCCATCAACGATCATTGCAAGGGCCATCCTACCAATATAACTCTGATTTCTGCAGTGCTGTCTGTAAGATTTAGCTTCCTTCAGTCATGCTGTATAGTACCTTATTCCACAAATAGTCCCACTTAAGTCAGTGACCTACTTATGGTGAACAGTACGTCCCACCACAGTGAAATCTGTCCCATAGTTTAAAACCTCATGCTAATAGTCAAATTTTGCCACTTTTACTCCATGAGTTGACACCTTGATTTCACTTGGATTACTCACAGAGTGGGGGACTACTCAATGGGTGAAATCCTAGTCTCAAAAAAGTCAACTGCAAATCTCTCATTCTCTTCCATAGGGCTAGGATTTCTCCCAATGAGTATAAAGATGATGGAATTTGGCTCTGAATACAGAAGCTTCTTTGTTTAACTGCTGTGCAAAGCCTCAGTGTGAATGCTTGTGGAGTAGCAAAACAAAGTCTTGGAAGCTAATTGTAACATTTTAAAAGATATAACTTGCATCTTTAGGGCTGATGATTAATGTCAACACGAGGGTGACATTATTGGTGAATACCAGAGAGCTGCATAGTTCCAAACACATCCTACCAAACAGTGAAAAAGGATCCATTCTGATGACGAAAGTCAGAAGTTTTGCATAATTGGGCGTAAATTTCACTCACCCTCTCCAGTGGCTCAGGCATCATTTGGTCGATTTTAGGCCATCAGATATATCGCACAAATTAAAGATTTATAGCTCAGTTAAATGAGCCAAGATCGCATGTTATAGTGGATGTGGCATGCGCTCAAGTCTCATTGCTGTGAGTGGGCACGAAAGATGCTCCCAACACCTCACTGGAAGTGCCTAACTCTTCAGAAATTGGGCCCAATATGATGGGGTTCCATAATGCTCTGAAAATACAGTTTTGGTTTCATTCAGTTTTCACCAGTTTTATCCTGCAATTTTCCTCTGGCTCTACTCATGTGATAAAAATGTGCTGTGTCTCTTAAGTCATTCCTTAGAACAGGCTGAGATCAGGTAAATCTACATTATAAAAATGTAATATACACATCAATATTAGTTTATATACCTGTTCTCAACATACTGTAGTGAACCAGATAAATAAAGCATATTTAAAATATAATACACAAACAAAATGCATATTTAAACAAGCAAAAATACAAGACTTAACAGTTCTAGTTTTTATAAGAAATTAAATACATATTCATTCAAGAAACTTAGAAAGACCAGAGCGCCTTAGTTAGAACCATTCTAGTCAGAAAATATGTATTTGTAAACTTCCATTAGAGACCACTAAACATTTGGGGGGTGGAGGGGCAGGGGGAGTGATATAATATGAAAGGGACACAAATTTTAAGTCAAAAATTCTTTTAAATGCAACATTAAGATTGTGGCACAGAGCAAAGCAGCCCAATAATGTGAGTCTTTAACTTATGCAGATATTTGTGCATAAGGGCACAAATGGAGGACACAGTGTCAGCTTCCATTTTATTCTCCTTGCATTTGAAAGATTGTATCACAAATTCCTTTGTGTGGAAAAACAGGTTTTGGGGAGGAGCATCTCCATAACTTAATGATCTGTCTAAATTATAGAAAGCAAGTTTACTATCTTATTTATAGTACACCTCTACCTTGATATAACGCTGTCCTCAGGAGCCAAAAGTCTTACCGTGTTATAGGTGAAACCGCGTTATATCGAACTTGCTTTGATCCACCGGAGTGTGCAGCCCCGCCCCCCCGGAGCACTGCTTTACCGCGTTATATCCGAATTCCTGTTATATCGGGTCGCATTATATTGGGGTAGAGGTGTACTAATAATAGTTCCACTCAAATACATGCTACAGTGTCAAGACTATTTCTGTCCTCAGAAAAGTATGCTTACAAAAGGAATTTAGTGTTACTGTATTATGCTCTTCCATTTTCTCTGTTATATGGAGAAAGTGTGTATGGAAGTTAGTTTTCTAGGATTGCATTTTTCAAGTTTTACTTGCTTAAACATATATTTGTTTTCCTCTTTTTCCCCCCTTTTGTAGTCAGCAGATACAACAGCTTTGAGCCATAGTGTAATAGGCCTTAAGCCAAACACTATGTATGAATTCTCTGTCATGGTAACAAAAGGTCGAAGGTCAAGCACGTGGAGCATGACTGCACATGCCACAACATATGAAGCAGGTATGTCTAGATATTTTGAGAGCTTTAAAAAGTGATTTTGTTTCAAGATGCCCATATTAGTAAAAGATATTTAGGAATTTTTAAAATCTGGAACTGACAAAATATATTGAAATTACTGAACTTCTGCTGATATAGTTGGTATCATTGTCAACTTTCATGCCAGCAAAATAAATCAACAGTGTATATTAAAAGCTAAATTTCTTTTCTTCACTTTTTTCTATGCGCAACAAAACAGCAGACATTTAATTCTCCTCTAAAGTTACTCAAAACCAAGATGTTGGAATTTAGTAAATGGCATGTTTCTAATAATATGGATCATAAATATAGTGAGCTTCAAAGATCTTTTTCATTAATGATGTGACCTAGTTGGTATTCAGTTTTCAAAGAAAACTGAAATCAGATGAAAACAATGATGGAAATAGTCTTCTATGACTAGGATGGCAGCTTTGTTAGTCTCTCTCATTTATTAATTTATAAAAGGCTACTTGTACTGGCTCAAGTGTGCGTGATTCTGTCCTAGCCCTCTAGTGCCTCTGGGAATGGATCAAGTACTGATACCAGCTAATAGAGGTTCTTTTTGGCTGAAGAGGTGAAGATGCTTTTGAAGCCAAAGGCCCACAGTTCTATTCACTATATTGTATACGTGCAGTTCTGCGGGCTCTGGAGGTGTCTGTATGTGGACATTACATAGATGGATTAAAGATCTTGAATTGAAGTTACAGCAGCTGGTACAGCTACAAAATTAAACAAAAAATGTACAACGAAGTTGAGCAGGCTCTTCAAATTGCATGTTATTTCCAGATACAAACTTTCTACCTGTAGAACTTCTTGTCTCATGTAAGAGGCTCCCTGCCTGGATGGATGAGGCTCCTTGGATGACACCAGGGTTTAAATTCAGCCAGAACCCACCAGAATGGAGCTCTATTAAATATTTTCAAACCTGTGGGAGCCCCGGGGCTTAGGGCTTCAGCCCCATGGGAAGCACCGGGGCTGGAGGCTTAAGCCCCAACATGCGCTGTGGGGATTGAAGCCCCAGTGCCCCCCTTATCCCCTGAAGGACAAAAGCCTACAGTCCCGAGCCCAGAATGGGAATGAGAATATAAGCCTTGGATGACACTCCCATTATCTTCACCTCTTTCTGTATTCAGTCCCCTACTAGTCACCATTATTCTTCCTCTATTATTAGAATTATTAGTATATTGTTGAATAGATATTAGGCATTAAGGATTTTATGTAACTGCTGGCCTCAGATGCTCAGTGGGGTCTCTCAGGAATACAACTATGATGGCTACTTCAGACTCTGAGGAAAAGTATTGCTTGGGTAGCAGTCATGTAATATTTATTGTAAGATAACACCTCCAGGAAGCTGAATGAACATCTATTAATAGGGCTGTAGAGTTAGGAGGTCTCTGGCTGGGACCTTTATTTCTGTCTGCAAGGAAAAGGAAGCTAAGGAGCTTGACAGGTCCCAACCTCTCTATTTTCCTTCTACTCTGTTCTCCCTTAAAAAAATAGAGAATGATACCTTTTCTCTCAGTTTTGTTTTTTAACTGTCATACAGATATTAATGGTGAAGTGTATCCCAAAGTATAGAATTCTATTGAAGCAATGCTCTACAGCAGTGATATTCACACTGAGGCTTGTGAAACACAAGTGGCTCTTTAAAGTGTCTCCTGAGGTTCTTTGCAGTACCTGATATTAAAACACTGTGTGATTTAATTATTAACCAATTTAAGTTATTAACCAGTCAGGATGCTTTTACTATGTTATTAACCAATTAAGTTATCAAATTGCACTCAGTTATTCACTTATTTGCTGTGAGAATAATATGTATAAAATATATAAATGAAACAATGAATTCACACTATTGTGGTTCTTTTGGGTAATGTTGATCACTAATTTGGCTTCTGAACCACTGAGGTCTGAGTATCTCTGCTCTACAGAATGATTAGTATTTTCTATTAAATTCTATATGTGTTTAGAATAAATTATTCATCTTCCCTCCTTGAGGCTCTTCAGAAGAATTGCTTTTGAGTCAAGCCAATGAGCTGCCTCGCCTCAGCATAGGGAGAACCACAGAATCTAAACAGGGAGACGAGCAGGCAGGGAGTTTCTTAAATGCACTTACAAAACTTGAGTTCTCTGGTTCACTGTTTTTGTTTCATTTTGTGTTTTGCCCTCCAGAGTAGGCCAGTCTTTCTTCTGAATAGGTAGGCCTTCTGCAGAGCTGGTAGATCTTCCACAAACTGAGTGGCTCAGAAGACTGCAGATATACTGTGCTGGATAGTTTCCAAACTGTTCAGTTACCTTATTGTGTTTCCCATGCTCAATAAAAAGTGAATCCATAGCTCTGAGTATGATATTTTCCTTTTTAACTGACTATTGATTCTAATATATAAACTTAGAAGGCTGTGTAATATGTGTGATTATTTTCTGTGCATGACAAGAAACAGCAAAAGTACAATGGTTAGAACTAAAAATCAACATTTACCAACAGATGTCAAATGTGGAGATGTCTGCTGGTAAATATTAACTTTTTAATGGCAACTGCTGAACACATCAGTTGTTTCTCAGGGGGAAACTCAGTGGAAATATATGTATCTTTAGATTTCCCTGTGTGGCTGACATACAGTTAATTAAACTGGAGATGCAGCTGCATTAACTAAAGAGTTCCTGTATTTCTGATGTTTATTGCCTATTTTGTACCCATTCTGCATCTGTAAGTTCCCTTAATGAAGAATGTTCATATCAATATTCATATAAAATTCTGTAGAGACCAGCAACATGGGGTGGAAAGAAGGTGTGTACCCACAATACAAACGCAATAATCAGAGCCAAATTTTGGCCCTGGATATACCCTCATAATTCTCACTGACTTCAGTGGGAGTTAATGAAATCTGAGAGCAAGACTTGGTCTTTTAATTTTACTCACAATTCTTTATGTTCACAATCTGTTGAATTCCAGAACCCAAACTTCAGCTCTTCAACAGAAATTGATGAGCCAATGTCATAAACAGGCTATTAGTTGAATGTTTTTTATGAAGCACAACCCACTAGAGACTATTGTTATTGCACTAATTTTCCTAGTTAAGTGTGCAGGCATGTCATACTGTAAATATATCTAGGTTAAGAGATTTCTTGAAGAACTAAGATGGTGCATTGTGTGCCTAATTTTGGACATCCTTGTTTGAATATTTTGGCCCTGCTAAATAGAGTGATGAAAAATCTTTAAATGACCAGGCTCATCTATAAGGGAACCCAATGGCACAGTTAAAGTTAGCATCCAATAGCCATTAGGCCTCAGCCAAAACATCAGTGAATGATCGTCTCACCTATTTATCAATGTATCAATATTAATTATAATGTGAGCTTCCTTTTTACATCTTTCTTGATTGTTTCGGATCCTTTTTTTGAATAGGGTCATTTGACACATTAATTATAAGATTAGCTGATCAGTATTCTGTTGAATCCTGTATTCGGTATTCTAATAATCCTTTCTTTATTAAGTGTGTGGTTGTTCATTTGTTTTACGGTGTTTAGAACCATTATATATTTTTCATGTTGGGTCAGACATTCAGTTAGAACCTCTTTGTTTAATACAGATTTTTTTCTAATGTAACATCAACCGAAACAATATTTTAAAAAATAATGACTTTGAGGCAGATTTTCTAATATTCAAAAAATTCACATCATGGAAGTCAGGTAGGAGATGGTGAATAGAGCTGTGGAGTTCACACTGCACTGCTCTGTTCTTTTTCTATACTACACATGCCTTTCACAATGAGCTGTGTGACTGCTCTAATGGTATGTCTGTACTGCAAGCCAAGGTATGATTGCAGCATGTGTAGGCATACCCGTATTAGATTTACCTACAATAGCACAGCTGAAAATAGCACTGTAGGTCTGAAAATGTAACTGCAAATGGGAAATTGTTATTAAGTTGGTCTATTTCCAGTGAGGTCCCTCAGAGATCTGTTCTTGGACTTAACGCTATTTAACATAAGGAAACATAAAATCATCACTAACCAAGTTTGCAGATGACACAAAAATTGGGCAAATGGTAAACAAGGAAGAAGACGGGTCTGAGCGATCTGGATCACTTGGTAAACTGGGTGCACACAAACAATATGTATTTTAATAGTCTAAAGGTAAATGTATACATCTAGGAATGGAGAATATAGGCAATACTTACAGGATGGGGGACACAGTGACCTTGAAAAACATTTTATGGTTGTGGTGGATAATCACCTGTACATGAGCTCCCAGTGTGACGGTGTTGCCAAAAGAGCTAGTGTGATCCTTGGATGCATATATAGGGGATTCTTGAGAAAGAGTAGACAGGTATTTTTACCTCTATATTTGGCACTGGTGTTTCTGCTGCTGGAATACTGTGCCCACAACACAAGAAGAATGTTGATAAATTGAAGAGAGTTCAAGGAAGAGCCACCAGAATGATCAAAGGATTAGAAAATTTGCCTTAGAGTGATAAACTCAAAGAGCTCAATCTGTTTAACTCAATAAAGAGGCAGTTAAGGGGTGATGTGATTACAATCTGTAAGTGTCTACATGGGGAACCCACTATTTTATAATGGGTTCTTCAATCTAGCAGAGAAAGGTATTACCCAGTTCAGTGGCTGGAAGTTGAAACTAGACAAATTCAGACTGGAAATAAGGCATAATTTTTCACAGTGAGGGTAATTAACTATTGGAACAATTTACCAAAGGCTCGTGGTAGATTCTCCATCACTGACAATTTTTAAATCAAAAGTATTTGTTTTTCCAAATGATACGCTTTAGGAGTTATTTTGGGGAAGTTCTGTTGCCTGTGTTAAACAGGAAGTCAGACTACATGATCACAATGATCCCTTCTGGCCTTAGAATCCATGAATCTATGAATGAATCTAGGAAAGAGGCATAGTCTTCAGCATGGCTGTACAAGCACACCAGGGATCCTGGATACCTACTTGCATTGCTAGCCCACATTAAAGCCCATGTCACTGCATCTACACAGCTATTTTCAGTTGTGCTTGCATGGGTAAAGCTAGCACGGTTATAGCTACCTGTGCTGAAATCACACCTTAGATTGCAGTGTAGACATTCTTTAAGGGCTTCTCTTCACCAAAGGGAGATCAACGCTGCTGCAATCGATGCAGCAGGGGATGATTTAGCAAGGCTAGTGAAGACCCGCTAAATCAACGGCACAGCACTCTCCGGTTGACCCCGGTACTCCAGCTCTCCAAGAAGAGTAAGGGAAGTCAACCGGAGAGCATCTCCCATCGACCCAGCAGTGAAAACCCTGGGGTAAGTCAACCTAAGCTACGTCGACTCCAGCTACATTATTCACGTAGCTGGAGTAGCGTAACTTAGGTCAACTTACCCTGGTAGTGAAGACAAGCCCTAAATTAACACCTACTATATTATACCCCAAACTCTGAAAAGCTAGCTCAGGAACAGTATAGCTCAGTGCACTCCTGATAATGTTCTTTAACAATAACCACGCCCTTCTTTCTCCACTCTGTACACCACCAGAAGATCCCATGATCATCCCTAAGCCAAACATGATCATCCCTAAACCACTCTGCAAGATTATGTGGCAAACATGCAATGGACATGCAGTGTAAAGAAGGCACATACACTCACAGACCCGGCCTGCTATATTTAATGGGATATATTGCTCTATTTAGGACTCCTTTTGTATTATTCTTACACCATACTCCCAGGACTTTGCTCCTATATCCATGTTAGGTGAATAGCTAATATATCCATCTCTCATGTTAGGTGTATTTTCATTTCATTTCATAAATGGTGATGGGGACCTAAAAAATCTTGGTAATATGGTAGTAGCAATGGTATTAATATTAAATATGGTGATGCCTTGAGACCCCTAACATGTACAGTAGGTGCTTAAATACCACACTGATGCGTGAGAGATAAGCACCAAAGTGGAATGGAATGGGATAAAAAGGATCCACATTTCCAGAAATACCCATAACCAATGGGATCATACAATAGTTTCTCTTAAAAATCTAGGTTTTAGTTTTCAACATATATTACCTGAGAATGTATCTGTAATGCATCAGCGGATCTAAGGAAAGAGGTCAATGCAGAATGACTGATATAGCATTTTAAGGAAAACAAGTATATAACTGAGAATCTGATTGTTTGTGTTCTATTATTTCCATTCTTTTAAGCACCAACCTCTGCACCCAAGGATTTGACAGTCATTACTCGGGAGGGGAAGCCTCGAGCTGTCATTGTCAGCTGGCAGCCTCCATTAGAAGCCAATGGAAAAATTACTGGTAAATGCTTATATTATCCCATGTCTATCTTTTTATTTTACATCTCTGTTCACTTTCTGGTTTCATTCTTCAGTTATTCTTCTTACATCTTTGTTTGTTTCCACTATAATATTTCATCTGAACTTTCTTTTTTTTCGCATAGAAGTGCTAAGTTGTATTAGTAGTTAATTCAGTGCCAGAGTTACAGTGAGATGGAGAATTGAGAGAATATAAATCCTTTAGTTTTAATTGCAGAAGGCATTAATATACTTTCTAAATGTAGTAATTCCAAGCAAAGGTCTTCTGGTGGCAATTAGAAATGACTAATAATAAGCAGCTTGTTTGGCAATAATGTAATACATAAGGTATATAATGATAGGTTGCTTAGTACAACACATAAATGGTAGGATTTATTGTAGATGTTTAACTTTATAATAATAATTTAAAGCACTGATGATCAGAAAAACTCTAATATTGACTGACAAGGATGAACTTAATGGATGCTTCACAAAGACAAATTTTATTGTTCAAAATATTGCAGATAACATCAATGCAAAATTAAGACATCCATTACAAGCCCATAATGTTAATTTAGTATGAAAAATATAATAGGTTCTATCAGAGATTTTGCATCTAAATGATCACTTTAGGATTTTAATAGACATCTAAGAGACATATAATTATTATGACAAATAGCATTCAACTTAAAAAATGTGCACATAATGGTTTAATTAACACAAACGATTGGGTTAGACGCTTGGAAGTCATGCAGCATATTTTCTGTATGTCAGAGATAGTCTGTGTATGTCACCAATACCACTAATAATTCCTGACACATATCGCTCAAGCATCCTGAACTATAAATGTTGGTACAAGAATTCTTCTAAATATAAATCCTGTGTGAGTAATTCAAAGCCTGTTGTATCAGATTCTGAACCTGTGTAAATCAACATATTTCCATTGACGTTGGTAGAACTAGGATGGTTTACACCAGTGGAGAATCTAGTCCAGTTTTACCAGTAAAATAAGATATATTTGGATCTGCCAGGAAGTTTCCCAGGGATAAAACACCTCAGATTGGAAACACTCTATTCATTATTTCCCTGTGCATTATACTCAGTCCTTTACACTCAGTGACCACATCCAAAAGAAAGGCCTGTTAAAGATAAGCATTTTCATAGAAAATGGTTTTTCTGACATTAACCCGATTTCAGAGGGAAAAATGACCATTTTAATTGGCAGTCAGTGGTCCTGAGTCTTCTCTCTGTTCTGCTGTGTAACTGCATTGACTTAAATAAAATCACTCCTGGTTTCCATAGGTGTAAGTGAGAGAAGAATCAAAGGCAGTACCTTTAATGGAGTTTCTTATTTACAGTGTTGTCAGTGAGAGATGACTTTGCTTGAAAATATCCATGGACAAACTATTCTTCCTTGTGGAATTGTTTGAAAAATGGCACTTACAGGAAATCTTTAATGCAGCCAGGAATGGCCAAATGTTATTTAGAAATGTCAAGCAAATGCAAAACGACCAAAACTCCATATCTGCAAATACTTAAGCAAGAGTGTAAGTTTATTAATGTGACTAATCCCATTGAATGATTTGTAATATGTTACATAGTTAAGGTAATACATGACACATGACACTCATATCGTCATCACAAAGACTAACCTAAATGGACTGACTGATTCATGACTACAATAGTTAGAACAACCTCTAAATAACTGCATACAATCCTGTAAACATAACCCTAACATACAATGCCAAAAATCTTAAAAGTACAATCATGGCCTTTCATTCTGACATTATTTTTCTATGCATTAATACACCAATTCATTTGGAAACAGGGGCTTGCAAAGATTATTTTATCTTAAAGTGAATAGAGGGATATTGATGATAATACTTATGTTGATTTGCACCAGCTGAAGATTTAGACACAAGAAGTTTCCCAAGAATTAGAGTAGCCAAGGAAATTATTTCTATAGACTATTATTATTTCATATTAGTTCTGTTATTCTAAGGGTTACTATAATTTCTATTTCTGTCAGCTTTCATCTTATGTTTTAAAATACTACCATAAGGCTTAATCCTGCAATCCGAACCTCACCCATCTTTATTCATGTAGAGTCTCATGTGAGTTGGTGGGGGTCCACAAAAGCATGAAGGTCCAGTCATAGATCTGGTTGTTGGATCAGGGACTTAATTTGCTCATAGTACAATTCTTGTGGTTTTAGTCACTTTGGTTTTATATATAAATACTTAATTTCTATTTTTTGTTTGTTTTTGTTTGTTTGTTTTACAATTACTGTGGTTTTATATGGTGGAATTTTATAAGTTACATAAGAACATAAGAATGGCCATACTGGGTCAGACCAATGGACCATCTAGCCCAGTATCCTGCCTTCAGACAATGGCCAGTGCGAGATTCTTCAGAGGGAATGAACAGAATAGGGCAATTATCAAGTGATCCATCTCCCTGTTGTCCACTCCCAGCTTCTGTTGTCCACTTTAGGGACACCCAAAGCATGGGGTTGCATCCCTGACCATCTTGGCTAACAGCCATTGATGAACCTATCCTCCATAAACTTTACTGATTCTTTTTTTTAATCCAGTTATACTTTTGGCCTTCACAGATACCCCGACAATGCGTTCAACAGGTTGACAGTGTCTTGTGTGAAAAAGTACTTCCTTATGTTTGTTTTAAATCTGCTGCCTATTCATTTCACAGGGTGATCCCTGTTTCTTGTGTTATGTGAAAGGGTAAATAACACTTCCATATTCACTTTTCTCCACACCATCCATAATTTTATAGATCTGTATCAATTCCTACCTTAGTTGTCTCTTTTCCAAGATAAATAGTCCCAGTCTTTTTAATCTCTCTTCATATGGAAGCTATTCCATACTGCTAATCGGGGGTGCTGGAAGTAGAGGTGCTGGGGGTGCAGCAGCACCCCGTGGCGAGAAGTGGTTTCCATCATATATGGGGGTTTGCAGTTTTGTTCAGTGGCTTTCAATACCTCCACTATAAAAAATGTTCCAACGCCACTGTTCCTACTTGTATTTGTTGCCCTTCTCTGAACTTTTTCCAGTTCAAATATATCTTTTTTTGAGATGGGGCAACCAGAACTGTATGCAGTATTCAAGCTGTGTGTGTAGCATTGATTTATGTAGTGGTATTATGATATTTTCTGTCTTATTATCTAACCCTTTCCTAATGGCTCCTAACATTCTGTTAGCCTTTTTGACTGCCATTGCACATTAAGCAGATGGTTTCAAAAAAATATCCACAATGACTCTGTGACGGGTTGGGTCACAGAAACCCCCCTGTGAACTGCTACCTGATGTGCTGAAACTACCTCTGAGCCCGTTTTCCATGGCAGCTTGGGACTTCAGTACCCTGTCTTGCTGAGCCAGACATGCCAGCCTGCTGCAAACACAGACCCAGGTCTGAACCACATCCTCCAAAAGCTGCAGACTTAACTGAAAACAGCTTAAGAAGTGCTTCTGTCTCTAGCACCCATATACCCAGTTCCCAATGGGATCCAAACCCCAAATAAATCTGTCTTACTCTGTATAAAGCTTATATAGGGTAAACTCATAAATTGTCTGCCCTCTATAACACTGATAGAGAGATATGCACAGCTGTTTGCTCCCCCAGGAACTAATTACTTGCTCTGGGTTAATTAATAAGCAAAAAGTGAATTTATTAAATATAAAAAGTAGGATTTTAGTGATTCCAAGTAATAACAGACAGAACAAATTAAATGACCAAGCAGAATAAAACAAAAACCATGGAAGTCTAAGCCTAATACAGTAGGAAACTAAATGCAGGTAAATCTCACCCTCAGAGATGTTCCAATAAGCTTCTTTCACAGACTAGACTCCTTCCTAGTCTGGGTCCAGCAATCACTTACACCCCGTGTCCTGTAGTAGGTGACTTCTGGGTACCCTTCTGCCTCTGCCAATCTGTTTCTTCACTTCCCTAGGTGAGTATTGTAGTTTTAAGAATGCTTGATTGACAGAGCCAGAAGGGTACCCAGAAGTCACCTACTATAGGACAAGCCCAACAAAGAAAGTAACAGAATACCCCTAGCCATCACCTACAGCCCACAACTAAAACCTCTCCAGCACATCATCAAAGATCTACAACTTATCCTGAAGGGTGATCTCTTACTCTCACAGACCTTGGGAGACAGCCCAGTCCTCACTTACAGACAGCCCCCCAACCTGAACCAAATACTCAGCAGCAACTACACACCACACAACAGATACACTAACTCAGGAACCAATCCCTGCAACAAACTGCATTGCCAACTCTGTCCGCATATCTATTCAAGGGATACCATCATAGGACCTAACCACATCAACCACACCATCAGGGGCTCGTTCATCTGCACATCTACCAATGTGATATATGCCATCATGTGCCAGCAATGCCCCTCTGCCATATACATTGGACAAACTGGACAGTCTCTACCCCAAAGAATAAATGGACACAAATCAGACATCAAGAATTGTAACATTCAAAAACCAGTAGCAGAGCACTTCAGTCTCCCTGGACACTCAATAACAGACTTACAAGTGGCCATTCTTCAACAAAAAAACTTCAAAAACAGACTTCAACGAGAAACTGCAGAACTGGAATTAATTTGCAAATTTGACACCATGAAATTAGGCGTGAATAACTGGGAGTGGCTTGGTCACTACAAAAAATAATTTTCCCTCTGTTGATATTCACCCCTTCTTGTCAACGGTGTTGGAAATGGGCCACATCCACCCTAATTGAATTGGCTTTGTTAACACTGACCCCCCACCCAATAAGGCAATTCACATATTTCCATGTGCTGTAATATATATACTGCCTACTGTATTTTCCACTCCATGCATCTGATGAAGTGGGCTATAGCCCATGAAAGCTTATATCCAAATAAATGTGTTAGTCTCTAAGGTGCCACAAGGACTCCTCATTGTTTTTACTTATCCACATGTTTGTTGACACATTCAAAGAAACTGTTGAGGCTTGATTTCCCTTTACAAAAGCTGTGCTGATTCTTCCCCAACATGTTGTATTCAACTATATGTCTGATAATTCTGTTCTTTACTATAGTTTCATTCAATTTGCCTGGTAAGTTAGGCAAGAAATTAGGTAATAAGTTAAGTTTACTGGCCTATAATTGCTGGGATTGCCTCTGGATCCCTTTTTAAAATCAGAATTACATTAGCTATCCTTCAGTCATCTGATATAGAGGCTAATTTAAGTGATAAATTGCATACCACAGTTAGTTGTTCTGCAATTTCACATTGGCAATTTCTGCATTTTCCTTCAGAACCCTTGGGTGAATACCATCTGGTTCTGGTGACTTATTACTTCAGTCTGGGACAGTTCCTCAGATTTGTCACCTAAAAAGAATGGCTCGGGTGTGGGAATCTCCCTCATATCTTTGGCAGTGAAGACTGATGCAAAAAAATTATTTAGCTCTCCACAACAGCATTGTCATCTTTGAGTGCTCCTTTAGCGCCTCGATCATCCAGTGCCCCTCTGATTGTTTTGCAAGATTCCTGTGTCTGATGTACTTAAAAAAAATTGCTTTTAGTGTTTGTATCTTTTGCTGGTTGTTCTTAAAAATTTTTTTGGCCTGCCTAATTATACTTTTACACTTGACTTGCTAGAGTTTATGTTCCTTTCTATTTTTCTCACTAGGATTTAACTTCCAATTTTTAAATGTTACCTCTTACTGCCTCTTTTACTCTGTTGTTTAGCCACGGTGACATTTTTTGGTCCTTGTACTGTTTTTATTTATTTATTTATTTATTTGGGGGGTATACATTTAGTTTGAGCCTCTATTATGGTTTTTTAATAAAGTTTCCATGCAGCTTGCAGGCATTTCACTTTTGTGACTGTTCCTTTTAATTTCCATTTAACTAACTTCTTCATTTTTGTGTAGTTCCCCTTTTTGAAGTTAAATGCTACTGTGGTGGGTTTCTTTGGTATTTTTCCCCTTACCAGGAGGTTAAATTTAATTACATTATGGTCATTATTACTCAGTGGGTCAGCTGTATTCACTTTTTGGACAGGCTCCTGTGCACCACTTAGGACAAAATCAAATTACCTACAGTGGCGGTTCAGTTTATTTTCCTGGGGATTGTGAGATACAGTGATAGCATTACAGTGAGTTACTGTGGGTTTTTCAAATGGATTTACCGTATAGTTACTAGGAAATATTGCATGGTTTTTCATGAGCACCCAGTGAATGATGTGCATCATCAATGTTATTTAGTTATTTAGTTTAATTTTATTCCAGCCCTGAAACACTAAAGACTTATCTCATATGGTTTATGACTGATATCATACTGGATCACGAGTCAGAATTTGACAAGTGCAATGTACAAGTAACAAATATAACACGATAAAGCTTGCTAAGTATTTCCCTAATTGTTAATCCTATGTTTTATATTGCAGTGAATACTGCAACTGATACTCTGATCTTGAAATAGGAAAATTATGCATTAATTCTTGTAACATTCATCAAAATAGATTTTAATGAAAGACCTGTCGTTAATGTAGGTGAAATAAAAAACATTTATCATGTCTGAAATTTGAATTTTGAATATAGTTTGTAAAATGCAGTATATGTACTAACCAAGACAATGTTTATGCAGCTTATATTCTGTTCTACACCTTGGACAAGAATGCTCCAATTGATGACTGGGTTATGGAGTCAATCAGTGGTGACCGACTTACTCATCAAATCATGGACCTCAACCTAGATACAGTGTATTACTTTAGAATCCAAGCTCGCAATGCCAAAGGAGTGGGACCGCTCTCTGACCCTATTCTCTTCCGGACTCTGAAAGGTTTGAACTTTTCTCTTAGATAGCTGGATATTAATGAGATGTACAAAATGCTCATGCTTCAATGCTTGCAGTTTACTTCAGTGACACTAGGAGTCTGTTATGCTAACACTAATAAGAAAATTCTAGAAGGCACTCTGAAACCGTTATTGAGAGACTGTAGCTAGGGGCACAGTAGACAAAAATGAACACCTCAATAATGCAGCAGCTGTATTCACATGCATACCATTGAGTAAAAAAACGATGACATCATTCCACTTCCTCCCATGAACAAGGAAGCTAAGTGCACATGATTGCAATTTCTCTAGTGAGACACTGTTTCACTTTGGTATTTATTTTATCTCTGTTGGTGGGTATAAAGGACTAGTAGTCGCTCACTCACATATCTAGAAAATAGGGATACAAAATTATGATTCCCTTCTTTTTAATTGATCAAACAAATGCAAAATAAAGAAAAGATCAACACTGTCAGAGGCACAGTCTAATTGGGTACATATGGAATTTTCTCTCTTACTTGGAACAAACCATTTGTAGGCCTAAACAGGTCTGTGCCAGATATCTCTCTTGCTGGCCAGTGTGATGGAAAAGCAAGATGAGGGGGACCTTTTCAATGACTTGTGCCTCAGCGTGTGTTAACGGGGAGAAGTGCTTGTGCTTACTGGAACTCTGGACTGCAACCATGTTTGGCCCCGTTGCAAGTGGAAGTGGAGAGATAATCCACACACGCAAAGATCTGTCACAATCTGCCCCTACATTATTAGCCATGAAAAGATAGACTATATTACTGCGAGTGGTACAAAGGATACTGGCAGCAACTGTGCACCTTATGTTTGAAACTGTCACTCATGTAGTTACATGACAGTATAAAGTCTTCTTTTTTAAAAGGCAATTAATTAAGAAAACAAATAGAGTGACATAAGCTATGTGCCTATTTTAGGAAAATGGGGTCACATGGAGTAGAGCTGTAGCTTTTCCAGAGCAAAAATTCCAAAGCTTTGAGTATAAAAAATAATGTCTTGACAGAAGGCTGCTTAAAATGAACATGGGCCAGAGCTGAAAAGCTCTGATCAGAGGTTTCAGATCCAATTCCATTTGTGGGGAGTAAGAGGGAGGTCTGGATCCAATATTCTGCTTCAGGTCTATCTTTAATTTAAACATATATTTGAAAACCCAGGAAAAATGACTGATCAAAAGGACTATTCATATGCAATACTTTGTAGATCTAGATACATCTCATCCTTGTTTTCCTTGTAGGAAAGAGGTATTATGCAAGTTCAGCCTTTAACAAATATTGGAACAGAAATGTAATTTTTCCTACTCCTGCTGCTTTTGAAGGAGGGAAGGGAGACTTTTCAGTCAGTCCCTAGCATTTACCATTAAGGAAGCATCGCAATGAATGGGCCTGTGCACTCAGCAGGATTGGCAGAGGGCTAGCCGTTATCTATGTGTATTAAGAGCATGTTACCAAATATTCAGACTAACTGTGAAAACCCTCATATAACAGTTTTAGTGAATTAACATCAATCAGAAAAATGAAAATATATATATATCAATTTGTTCAGAGCTTATCACAGTCTATCCAGATTTTCAGGACTTACTTGTCTAAGTCTGGTTTCACTTTGAATTAATTATTTGTAGGCTCCTGATTATTCATTCTCAACTACCATGAAATGTGAATAGAAAGCACTTTGCAAGTGCTTAGTCTCTATCAACTAGATGGGTGCCAACTTAATTTCATGCTCCCAATTTGTGCCAAGTAAAAGAACTCTGTTAGAGAGAATTTAAAGTGAGTCAAAGAATCAAAATATAATAGTGACAGAGAAATGAGACATCAAAAGATACAGAGACCCAGATATCTAACTAAACAAAAAGATTAATGGACTAGATATCACCTACTTTGTAGTGTTTACACAAAGTACCATAAAATTCATTTGGGAAATGAATTCTATATCAGAGAGCATTAAGAGATACCAAAAAGATAAATTTACACATTTGTTACATCTTGTAATAGTCTACAAGGACTATGTTTAATACCCTGACATGAATATTTAATGTTATCCACCCTAAATATGTCGTGTTCAATAATATTCAGCTGATTTTTGACAAATCTGTCTCTACATAAAAGGTGAAAAGAGCTTCTGAAGGCTTGAGTGCATTCTGAATTATGCAAAAATGTTGGTTTCCTGACCTTAATGATTATTAACAGGAGATATGCATGTGACTTATGGTAATGAATGCTCTGTTGGCAAATATATGTTTTGATCACAAGATATTTTAAACCACAAGGAACAAAGTAAGCATCAAAGATCTATAAAGTCCCCCCTTATCTGATTTATGATATTATAGCACACAAAGCTCTTTCAAGGAAACCAAACCCCTAGTCGGGTATAAAACTGCAGCTGTTTTCCCCCCCCCCCAGTAACATGCCTTTAGTAATGAAAAATGCAGTGATCTGTATGAGAACAGATACGTTTTATTGTAAATATCACTGCCAGATAAGCAAAAGTGCTTATGGTTTTCCCCCTCAGATCCATTGGTAACAATGTAATCCAATGGAGAGATCTTCAGCTGTTTTAAAGTGTCATAACTCCAGCTGAGGATCAGCCTGCATGTTCTTTGGCTGGTCATATTCATCATTTAAGACATAATTGCTCTGATACAGGCATTACCAGGGAGTTCTCATGTGCCTGGAGGAGATGAGGGTATGAGATGTGATTATCTACCCCATAATTAATTACTAGGGAATGCGTCACTTTTTTATTGTTATATATTATGGACCAAAACCTGAATTGGGTATTCAGGTTTTATTTAGTTCTTTTGCGAACAAGTTCCAGTTTATTTCATTAGATGTCCTGAAAAAAACATAAAGAAAATTAGAAGTAAATTATATTTTTATGTGTTGAAATATTAAACTGCATACTGACATGGATTCCTCTAGAAGTTAAAGATGCATGCAGTAACAAGTGGGAAAGCAGAACTTCAATCTCAATGTTCCACTAGATTTACTGTATGTAAATTAATAACATTAAATGGTAGATTTCTGAAGTAAAGTAACTGGAATCCATTTAGCAAGATAGGGAAGCAACTCCAGTCTGGAATTTACTTCTGACTGCCTTATGAAAAGGCTAGCTAAGAAAGTCTGAATGTAGTAGTGTCAGATCAGTAGGAGATCCACTCATTCTTTCAAATTCACTTATTAATAACTTATTTTTTTTCACCTGCAGCAGAAACTGATTAATCCCAGAACTGTACTTAACCCCTTTTCAACTGAAACATAATTTGATTCTAAATTTCAGCTTCAACTTAGAAACAACCCATAATTATCTACTGAACTTTCAGTGAAGCAAATAAAATAATAGTATTTGAACTGTTTATTAATATCGCACACAAAAATAAACCAACATGCATAGATAACAATATGAAAATGCACATACTGCATTTTGTACAAATCTGTGTACATGCAGTACATCTATAGGCTTTATTTCAAGGATGAACGAAATACATGGTCAGTTGTTTATATAAAGGAGAGAGAGAGAGAGAGAGAGAAAATTATCCTGGCTTTTCAATTTTGTCAGATATTACCAATGCCATTATACCAAGATAAGCAGTGAAAGTCTTTATTTGGGGACTTGCTGCAGGACATCAGGAATACATATTGCTGATGTCCCATTTCTGTTTGGCAAAGCTGATGTGGGGCAGCATTTCTAGCATTAGAGTGCCCTCTAATGCTGTATTGGAGTGGTGGTTAAAAAGCAAATCCTTGCTCCTAAGCCATACAAAACGTGAACCTTTATGACCTGCCAGAGAAAAATGTTACCTTCTGAACCACCACGGCAGTATTTCACGATGCTGTAGATGTCACAGGTTACATCTCCTTAATAACTCGAAGAAGGCAGAAAAAGTTGAGGTCAGCTTTTAAATGTCATAAATATTTGGAATGAGGTAACTGCAGTTGCAATCAAGGGTTTAATGTTTTTATAAATAAATTTGTTTTCCGGGGAAGGTCATAATCCCAGATATGACTCAGCAGGGAAACCCATTCTCCCCAAAAGATTTCTAGAAACTTTGAGGGAATCTGTACAACTCTATACATTTTTCTCTGTTAACATAGTTAAAATAGTTGAGTGCATGGTGATCATTCAAGGGTCTGTTTTCCCTTTGCTGCAGGCTTGGAACTTTCATAAGTACTAATGGGAGTTACAGTGATAACAGGTGCTGATGACATTGTTATCAGAAATAGACACACTAATGTCATTGTGCTACATGTACGTTTCCACCATCTTGGGCCTTTATTGTTTATGGCAACATCTTGTAAGCTAAACCATAGGATAACATGGTGATCATAACATGAAGGTGGGTAACCAAATAATGTAGTGTTCTTCAAAGGGAGAATAGACCAGCCTTTAAAAACCACCCTACATTTATAGACTGCTTACTCAGCTACTTAAACTCAGGTGTGTCAAAATCTTTTTTTTAAAATCTCCTGTAGCTTAAATTCCTTTAAAATTTTATTAACCAGAAAATTGGATAATTTTCCATAATGGTAGCTATTTCTGAATCTGAAGGGAAGCTTAATACTATCTATCATTTAATAAAATGCTGGGAGCTGCTAACAGTTCAGAAGAGCTTTCAATGTGTCTACTGAATTCTGAAGCCTTGTCTGGTGCACTTCAAATCACACCATCGTTTGTGTAATTATTATACAAAAGCATGTAAATAATTTAAAACCTCTTTTGTAAAAAGCTGAAACAATAACATTATAATTCAGATCTAGCTTCCAATACGTAGGTGATTTGTATGCAATTATTCAAGGAACAGTCTCTCTCTTTCACTTTCTCTCTCTCTCTTTCACTTCCAAGCTTAATTAAACTTCCCAGATGATACTTCTAAGTTCAGAGACCAACAAGTTGAGGAAATATACATTTTTAACTGCTTTATTTTTTAAAGAACTTGTGACTACATTTGATGTGAAACACAGTGCGACATGTACTTGTCTTCTCTGTTCTTCAGAATCTCTTTGAACAGGGGAAAGGTAAAATATCTCTCTTTGTCCCAATCAATCCGCCAAAAGTGCAGGAGAGCAGCAACTTGATATGAAAACCTGCTAACAAAATTGTTGATTTGATATGTCAGCTTGGCTACTAGGAACTGTCACAGTCTAATGATATTGTCTTTTTCTTGCAGTCGAGCACCCTGACAAAATGGCTAATGACCAAGGTACAGTGGCCTCAAACTGTCACGTTTTCTCTTAGAATCAATGCTGAACGTTAGGAACGATGTTACTCGTCACTTTGCATTCTGTTTTTCACCTGGGCTGCACACCTGATGAGGCAGGCACTGGCATGATAATTAATCTTGTTAATGAAGTTCTGCTTCGCTAAGGCTGCTGCTTTGATGGGGAAGATGTAAATTTTCTTGAGAGGAAATTGTTTTGTCTCTTTTCTGAAGGACCAATTAAAATGTCAAGCTTCTTTGTACGAAATAAATTTTTAGTCTCTCTGCTGCATTTCTGAATAATTCACATTAAGTATAATTAAGCTCAGCATAATATTCAAACTGCTCTTGCACCCTTTCATAGGTTATAGATTAAAGTTCTGAAGTGTTGCAGTGAAAAATCATGAATCATTTTCTTTCTCAAGTCAGCAGCCCTGTTTAATAAAAGCAAAGTTTAGTCAACTTTTCAAGGCATTATCATTCCTATGTTTACCAAATATGAAATGTTGTCTAATTAGTCATGTTTCTTCTGCTGTTAACTTACTATAGTTATTTTTATTATTTGTGATGTCTGTTGCTTGGAAATTTTCATCTTCTTTTTACTCCAAACTGATTTATTGTAAGCACCCATTTCCAATGCAACTATAGCATCTTCCATATAAGTAATGTAATTCAAAACATTGAGAGAGGGAAATATTCACAGTGATATCTGAAAAGTTTAAGGCTACAAAGCCATTTAGGTGATTTGAACTCCCATTTCACACTAACTTCAATGGAAATAGGGTATCCAAACCCCATAGGTCTCTCTTCACTTGGAGAAAAGGTGCAGTGTTACCTTGTGTTAGCTAACTCAAGTTAACTAACACGACGTAAAATCCTAGTGAAGACAAGGCAGTTTGTAGCTTTCACTTACGTAAGCAGGTCACAGTAAAGCCTATACACTCCCATAGTCTTTATCTCTGAGGTGAGCAAACTACGGCCTGTGGGCCACATCCGGCCCGCGGGACCGTCCTGCCCTGCCCCCCGAGTTCCTGGCCCGGGAGGCTAGCCCCCGGCCCCTCCCCTGCTGTCCCCCCTCCTCCGCAGCCTCAGCTCGCTCACTCCGCCGCTGGCGCAATGCTCTGGGCGGCGGGGCTGTGAGCTCCTGGGGCAGCGCAGCTGCAGAGCCTGCTGGTCTCTGTGCTGCGTGGTGGTGGCGGGGGCATGGCCCGGCTCCAGCCAGGCGGCGCAGCTGTAGTACCACCAGCCACCGGTGCTCCAGGCAGCGTAGTAAGGGGGGATGGAGCAGGGGAGGGTTGGATAGAGGGCAGGGGAATTCGGGGTGGTGGTCAGGGGGCGGGGGTGTGGATAGGGGTTGGGGCGGTCGGGGGGGAACAGGGGGTTGAATAGAGGCAGGGGTCCTGGAGGGGGAAAGTCAGGAAGCAGAGGGGGGATTGGATGGGGTGGCAGGGGGCAGTCAGGGGCAGGGGTTCCGGGGGAAGTCGGGACAGGGAGAAGGGGTAGTTGGATGGGGCAGGGATCCCAGGGGGGCCGTCAGGAATGAGAGGAGGGGTTGGATGGGGCAGCGGAGGTCAGGGGGCAGTCAGGAGACAGAGCAGGGGGTGTGGATGGAGCAGGGGTCCTGGGGGGGGCTGTCAGGGAACAGGGGGGTTGAATGGGGCAGGAGTCTTGGAGAGGGGGGCAGATAGGAGGTTGGGGCCGGGCCACGATCCCCTCCCCTAACCAGCCCTCCATACAATTTACGAAACCCGATGCAGCCCTCAGGCCAAAAAGCTTGCCTGCCCCTGCTTTATCTCAACCTGCTAGCACCTGTGAACGCTATAAACTGTATATTAAGTAGGATTTTACATCATGTCAGTTACCACAAGATAAGAACACACCTCCCAGCCCAGTGAAGGTGCGTCCTTAGACAGCTTTGAAAATCCACCTTAAGGTTTCAGGATTTCATTCTTTATCTTTGGGAACAGGGATCTCAACATTTATCTTTTTGAAACTTGACATTTGATTTCAACCAACATCAGGTTTTTCACCAGAACACACACAAATATCATGCTTTGACATGAAAAACCAATTTTGTTTTGTTTTGGAAAATGTGAAAATGTGTAGGCTGCAAAATAGTTTCAAATTACTCCCCCCCCCACTTGCCTTTTTAAAACAATTGTTCTTTCCAAGCAGGTCTAACAAGCAATAAATAGGGCTGTCAAACAATTAAAAATATAATCGCAATTAATCCTGAGATTTTAAAAAATTGTTGTGATTGGTCACAGTTTTAATCGCACTGTTAAACAATACAATACAGGCAGTCCTCGGACTTATGACACAATTGGTTCCTGAAAATTGCGTTGTAAGTCAAAACTTTGTAACTCGAAACTGCAATCCACTCCATTGCGGGACTGAGCGTCCTAAAGTCAAAACCAGTTGTCATAAGCCGAATCAGGGTATCAATTCAGAAACGTCGTAAGTGCCTCTCATCGTAAGTCGAACGTTGTAAAGTCAAGGACTGCCTGTCCTATTTAAATTTATTATAAATATTTTTGGAAGTTTTTCTACATTTTTAAATATATTGATTTCAAATACAACACAGAATACAAAGTGTACAAGTGCTCACTTTATTATTTTGGATTACAAATATTTTCACGGTAAAAAATATAAACAAAAGAAATAGTATTTTTCAATTTACCTCATACAAGTGCTGTAGGGCAATCCCTTTATCATGAAAGTGCAATTTACAAATGTAGATTTTTTTTTGTTACATAATTGCACTCAAAACCAAAACAATGTAAAACTTTAGTGCCTACAAGTCGAAGCACAAAGGGGCATACAAATGTTTTAGCATATCTGGCTCATAAATACCTTGCAATGCCGGCTACAACAGTCCCATGTGAACACCTGTTCTCACTTTCAGGTGACATTGTAGTTAAGAAGCGGGCAACATTATCTCCCATAAATGTAAACAAACTTGTTTGTCTTAGCGATTGGCTGAATAAGAAGTAGGATTGAGTGGACTTGTATAAGGTGAATTGAAAAATACTATTTCTTTTGTTTATATTTTTTATGATACAAATATTTGTAATAAAAATAATACTATAAAGTGACACTTTACACTTTGTATTCTGTGTTGTAATTTAAAACAATATATTTGAAAATGTAGAAAAACATCCAGAAATATATAATACATTTAAATTGGTATTCTATTATTGTATAACAGTGTGATTAAAATGGTAATTAATTGTGACTATTCTTTAATCTAGTTAATTTGTTTTGCATTAATTGCATACATTAACTGTGATTAATTGACAGCCCTAATAATAAAATTATCAGTACTGAGGAACAGTTAAGAATAATATGTAGATAGGCTATGATTTTTAGTGGCGCCTAAACCACTTAGGCACCCTTCTTCTAATTAAAGACAATGTGAGTTGGGCACATAACTCCATTAGATCACTGAGGAAATCTCAGCATATTTCATTAGACTTAACTGATAAAACAAATGTGGCATCTTGATTTTTAGTAAGATCCCCAGCTGTTGTAACTCCAGGACTGCCAGTTACAAAATGTTCCTTCTACCTTTGATGCCAGATTACAAATGAGGCAATCAAATAATCAGTCAATTCTGATCTTAATAGAAAATCGGGAGCATAAAGAAGATGCCAATTTGCTCAGATACCTTGGGAATGATTTTAAATAAATGCAAATAGAGGGAAACTTGAGTTATTATTTGGTAACCGTTCAGCTAACTTGCTACCCACATGATAAATTTGGATTAACAACTTGAAATCCAACAATATAACACGAAATAGGCTTGAAAACAAAAGAGGGGGGGCTAGTGATAAATGTTGCTCTTCAAAGCATTATAGTATGGTGCATTAATTCAAGTTAGATGTAAAATTGCATGTACGTAACATAATATTGCACAATTTAATGTTTAGTGTCATGGCACAATTATTTGGAATGAAAAGTGAGAAATCAGTGTATTTATTTCTGCCCCACTTGCTATCACTTCAGAATGCAAATAACTAATCTAGGTCCCAGCCCAGGACAAGCTCTGTACAGACAGGCACCTGCACCCATATGGAACCCCAATATGGCTCCATACTGGCACTCCTGTTTGCCTATCTAGAGTTACTAAAAGGATGAGGGCTGTAGTTTTTCTGTAGGCATTGGGGTTACACTTCTGAATGTGGTGTACAAAATTGCTATAGCTTGGTTATCCAGGCCTGTCTTACCTCTAGTTCAGGATTCTTCTGTATTTGTCCCACAGCTACTGCCCATGAAAAAGGTGCATAATTTAAATATGAAGTCAGGGTCAGCGATGTTCTTGTTTCTTGTCTGCTGGCTTGTATCCATGTAGAAACCAGCAAAAATATAGGAATGTTTATTGAATATTCTAGATACAGCATTGGCTTTTAAAAAATAAATAAGCAGGGGGGGTGGGGAGAAGGGGAGAGTATAGTCTTCTTTTCATTTTCTCTAGACTTGCCTGAGTCCCTCTTGGAAAAAGATCAGAGCCTCAGCAGGGAGGCCGGTTGCATCCCTTTTGAAAAACGGTGCTGTAGTTTAATTCATGTGGCGAACTAAATAAGCATGTCAGCTGAAGGTGGAACTAGCCTGTGTATCGTATATGAATATACATTCCTTGTATCACCAAGAGATCTAATCACAGCAAAGTGTTTGCTGTGTAGGGCACTTCCTTTTCCATTGTAATAAACATGCATTTTTCTACAGATTCAAATAAGGTCTTGAATACTGTGCAAATATAATACCAGGATATGCACAAGGCTATTTCAAGTTTCTTTATATAAATTTGCTAGGAAAATAGCTCCATTTGCCCAGAACTACTGCTCAGAAAGGCTCGGTATGCAGAGAATGAATGTGGTAGCTATTCACTGATAAAAGAACAAGTGTAGTATCACAAGTAATGTTACAGTTAAGGTTTTGTCAGGACAAACATAATCCTTTTGAACTGAAACTGAGCATGCAGGACTTTCTGTCCTGTTATAGGC